TTCACTAAGCTAGACATCCGTTGGGGATACAACAACGTCCAAATCAAGAAGGGAGACGAATTCAAGGCCACATTTCGCACTAACCGAGGACTCTACGAGCCCACGGTCATGTTCTTTGGACTAACCAATTCGCCTGCCACATTCCAGTGGATGATGAATGATATCTTCAAAGATCTCATTGCTCAGGGAAAGGTCACCATTTATTTGGATGACATCCTCATCTTCACGAAGGACAAGGTGGAACACCAAAGAATTGTGCGAGAAGTCCTAAAGATTTTGCGCAAAAACAAGTTGTTCTTGAAAGCAGAAAAATGTGAATTTGAGGTACTCAAGACCAAATATCTTGGAGTCATTATCAGTGAAGGGTTCATAAAAATGGATCCAATCAAAATCGCTGGTATCATGGACTGGCTGATGCCCTCCAAGAAGCAGGAACTACAATCATTCCTAGGATTCACCAATTTTTACCAACGATTTATTTGGCACTATAGCGCAATTGTCAAGCCAATGACAAAACTCACAGGGAAAGTCCCTTGGACATGGGGAAAGGAACAACAGGAGGCGTTTGAAGAGCTCAAACGTCAATTCGCAACGGGAGTCGTTTTGGTGATGCCAAACAACTACAACAAATTTTGCATGGAGGCGGACTCCAGCGAAGGGGCAATTGGGGCCATCCTGTTGCAGGAACAGGAAGGGAAATGGCACCCAATTGCATTCCTATCAAAATCTCTTTCCGTGACAGAATGGAATTACGAGATTTATGACAAGGAATTACTGGCAATAATGATCGCCCTGGAAGAATGGCAACACTATCTCATGGGTGCCCATCAAGATTTTGAGATCTGGACGGACCACTCAAATCTGCAATATTTCCGCGAACCTCAGAAACTCAACCGCAGACAAGCGCGGTGGGTCACTGAGTTAGTGGAATACCATTTCACACTCAACCACAAGCCAGGAGCATCCAATAGGAAAGCTGACCTCTTAAGTTGGTGGGCCGACCATGATCAAGGCAAGAGGGACAATGACGATATTGTCCTCTTGAAGCCAGAATTCTTCTACACCTTGGTAATGCCAACGGAAGAAGAAATTCATGGCAAAATCCAGAGAGCTATGAGCGATCACCAATGGTGGGACTGAGGAATTGCTTCAAGTCTCAATCATGAGAAGGGGGACATCGAAAGGGACCACCTTCTTCACTACAATGGACATATCTACATCCCTCATGACCACATGCTACAAGGAGAGCTCATCTCCCACTATCATGATCATGTCTCTGCAGGACACCCAGGCATCGAAAAGACCAAAGAGTTGGTCTTAAGAGATTACTGGTGGCCTAAACTGCAAAGAGACGTGGAAACCTACATGCGAGGATGTGAAGCATGTCAAAGAACGAAAACTGACACACAATGGAAGGCAGCTCCGCTACATCCTAATGCTATACCATCTCGACCTTGGGAACACATCTTGGTTGACATGATCACTGGATTTCCAGAGTCTAAAGGCTACGATGCAGTGCTAGTCGTTGTAGACCGATTCTAGAAATATATCATGCTGATCCCATGCATGAAGGAACTCTCGTCGAGCGGATGGGCCAAGATCTTATGCAACGAGATCATTTGTCGATTTGGGGTCACCCCCTCCAAAGTCATCTCTGACCGGGGACCCCAATTCGTATCGAAATTCATCACTGAACTATATGCAATGATGAATATTCAAGGAAATCCATCGATGGCTTACCACCCTCAGATGGATGGACAAATGGAACGGGTTAACCAGGAACTCGAGAAGTACCTTCAAGTCTTCATTAACCACAAACAGGACGACTGGAGTGAATGGCTGCAGTGGGCAGCATTCGCTCACAACAACCACCAACACTCTGCAATGGGCTTCTCCCCCATCAAAGTAGTCTTTGGACGAGATGGGGAGATTCACCCAACTGCGGTGAGGCCATCAGAAACACCATCGGTAACTGACTTCGTCGAAAGCCTCCAGAGAGTATGCAAACAGGTGGAACACTCTCTGAATAAAGCTGCCAAAGTTATGAGAAAGGCTTATGACAAACACACTCGTCCTGCACAGGAATACCAACCAGGTGACAAAGTATGGTTGGATTCAACCAACCTTCACCTTCCTCGACCAGCAAAAAAGCTAGACAATAAGCATGTCAGCCCCTTTGAAATAATCTCTAAAAAGGGACCCTCCGCATATGAGCTAAAGCTACTGCCAGGATGGAAAATCCACAATAAGTTCAACGAATGATACCTAACTCTGTACGTCCCCCCAGAGTTTTCCAATCAGGAAAAACCTCCGCCACCTGAGCCAGAACTCATGGAAGGCAAGGAAGAATACGAAGTAGAAGAACTACTTCAAGACTGCGACCGCATTGTCAGTCAAGGACACAGCCGGAGGACCATAACAGAGTATTTGGTCAAATGGAAGGGATACCCGGTGGAGGAAGCTACTTGGGTTAAGAGGAGCAATCTCACCCATGCTGAAGAACTCGTCAAACAATATGAGAACAAGGAAGACTGCATAGAGGATCATGATTTGCAACACTTGGAAAACGAAGGGGGATGTATAACCATATCATCTCCTGGCCCTTCAACCGAGAGCCCAACAGTCTTTCCAATCTCAAAACAGGAATCATACCGATCCATTATCCTTCAATGAGCAGGGCTTTTATTCATCGGACACAGATGAAGATGTCTTTGAAGATGAGCATTCCATGTCTCCTCTAACGACTCAGACCGACCCTAGTCTCCCTCAAGAAGAATGGGGCATGTCTGCTTGGAGACAAACCAAGGACTACGAATCGGATATGGAATCTACTAACTCCCTCGACTCAGGGAGTGAGTACGTCTAAAGGACTGTCGGGATGACAGTCTTAGTCGGGGGGTATTATTACAATTTTACCTCTATTTTCCTTATCTTATCTTATCCTTATCCCCCCAAAACCCCGGACTTGCCTATCTTATCTCTCAGACCTATGATATTCCACTGGCACGTTCCTTACCCGTTTACCCAGTTGCTGTCACTCCAGTTCACAGCTGCTGCATCCCGGATGACTGATGGACTGCATGCACCATCATGCTTCTCTTGATGGCATCATGCTTCTTAGTGGTTGGACAGGAGTCGACTGCTAGTCGAGGGCAGTCTACGGGATACAGCCCATTCAGACGGAGTCCTGTGCAGATACAGGTGATATGTGCTCTTTACTCTCATTCGTCGGGAGTATACTTCTTTTAGTGTCCTCCCTCCTCATTTGTTGAAAGGTGTACTTCTCACTGCACATGCCCTTGTAGACATTATTCTTAGTATGAGTCCAACATGTATTTAAGCTAGCCTACGCTGTGGCCTTAGACCCCAGCTTCGGCTAAGGTTATATACTCCTAACTCTTACAAGCTCCTTGCTTTCGCTATAAGTGACGCCTAACTTCTCGCAATCTACCAAATGCCTCTCTAACACTGAATCACTGAACGCGAGTGACAGGATAGAGATTAGCCTTGGGTCAGATTAGAGTTAGTGCATAACAGCGCTAGCCGCTGTACTCTTTACTAGTGACCATATTTTACTAAGTCATACTAGCTTTGGAAGTGCTAGTCTGGTCAGCGGGTAGGGCTGACCCACTAGTGGTATCATTCCTAAGTCCTGACTTGACTAGTAGCATACTAACTTGACTATCAGTCCGAAGTCTCAACTATAGCCCTTGATATACAACTAGTATAGGATAGACATGCAATAGTATTGTTATAAAATCACAAATCTAGGTGTGAATGCGTAGATGGCATATCAACGTGATGCTAATGAAGGTGCTCCGTTTCACTGACTTGGAAGATGTCGGAGACTGCAGAGGTCTAAAAGCTGGGGAGTCGAGTGGTATATTCAATGCGAGTCGGCACTGGTCAAGAGGAACTGGCAGGCCCAATCCTTGCCATTAATACAACCAGCAGCAAATGTGAGAAGCTTTATAATGTGGATACAAGGACAAGCTGTTATGCTTGTTTGTGTCCATCAATAAACTCTACCAAGTTAATGTGTCAAGGTGAGTGTTGTGAGTGAAATCGATTGAGATTTACCTCTTTACAATTTGACGATTGCAGAATACATATACTGATATGTATAATTCCTGTAACATGCATGATCAATTACGATGTGACTGTATATAAAAGAAAGATGTGCTATCTGGATATTAATGTAAATATTCAATAGATAGGTTGTGACAGACATATTAACTAGAGAACAAACTGATTTGCTATATGTGAGGTATGTATGTGGTCCATCGTACTGTACTGAGAGCTAATAGCAGGAGTGAACGGAGCTGCATGAGTGCGAGAACAACCAGAACAATCCGGGAAACAATGTACATCACAATTCCAAATATTATCAGCATCAAGGCGATGAGAGGAGCAAGTATTCCAAGTGAGAAAACAAGGAATGAATAGATAGAACAGTCTTTCAGTAACCGGGATACAGGTGTTTGTCCCACTAGAAAGTGTGCCTTTCTGATGAACACAACTAGGTGGGTGAAATATGGCCTGAGGAGTCCAAGCAAAACAGCAACTGATGAAAATCGCCATATGATCATTTCAACATGTGATGGGAAGGAGAATGACCAGGCTGCACAATGGATTGCCCTGAACAATGCTCCCACCACAACCAATGTTGGAAGATGCATGTGTTCTATTCGTATACCATGTTTTGCCCCACCCGAGGAGAATTGAGATGCACCATCCTCAATTCAGTCTCGCATACCATTAGGATAGATGGGTATTCCTGAGATACTGTTTACTACCTCCATGGCCAAGTTGGATATGGATATGAGGGCATTCCAAAGACAGACAAACACTCCGGTCATGAAAATCCACAATCAACCCTGTAGAGTTGCAGAACTGCCATGAATTTTGTTGAAGGGAACTAGGAATACTGGTTTGCAGTGGAAAGTGCGACATTGCAGGGTCATTTCAGATGGTCCCACATCCATGCAAATATGACATTGCACATCGAGCGGTTTATGCCACCATAGGAGAGAGGTAATGATGCTGAGTACTGCGAATGCGAGTGCGGTGACTTCTAGGAGTGTGATAGGAAGATCCTGGTGGATTCGGGGGATGCATTGCAAAACAAACCAGGATATTTGAAGGATGGATATTGCTTTTGAGAATGCATCACCTTTACTCTTGTCACGGATTGAAATTACATCGACCTTCTGTAATTCATCTATCAATCTCTCGTTCGTTGCAAAAGAATCAAGATCAAGAAGTGTTTCTGTATCAGCGTCATAAAAACCACCCATGCTGAGGAAAAACCCATGAGTCATGGACAGCTTTGGTGGATCTGGGTCCTCCTGCAGCATTATCTTCCTGATAATGTGGGAGAATATGGAAATAGGTGGTTTACCTGTTAATGTTTATGATAAGCATGAGTACTCTGCAAGAATGTAGCATACTCACTGAGGCAGTGTACTTTCCATCCACCATGAGCTGCATCACAGCCCATGCAACAATGGCTTCAGGTGCAAGAACCGCAATCGCCATCAGCTTTGCATGGTCCATAGCGCCTGTGAACCATCCCCAAGGGGGGGTTGGAAATAAAATCCTGGACAGGGGGTAGGGGGGGAGAGGGGGAAGAGTAGCAACCTTAAACATGAAACCTCGCCTACCATATATAGGCATTTTTGGGGGTCTGATGGGTGCCATTGGCATGAAATAATAGCATCTACATTTAAAATGAAGATATTTAGCATCACATATACATTTGTGGTCTGTTTTTCACCTTAAAAAAGTTACAATGTGTCACCACCTAAGTCCCTGAGAGATTCACATGGTCAAAATGATTACAAGAGCATTACAAATCATATCTATTATGGATATATTACTACTCTATATGGTAGGAGGGGGAGGGAGGGGGGGGGTCCCCTCAGCCTTAAACACGATGTTGCGACTGCAGCCTATTTACGCATGTAATTTTGCAATCTAGAGTGTTTTACATGCATACTGAGAAATAGTGAGTGAGCGGACTAAAACTACATGTCGACACTAATGCTATGTGGTGCAATGATATGGAATATAACTTATGGCATAAAAAGCAACGGGATTCTAAACAGGACTTAGTCACAGCACTGTACCTGACGGGCATGCGTGATGAGAAGGCCAAACCCTATACCCAATGCCTTAGGCTCTAACTTACAAGCACACTCGCGGGAGCTAGATAAAACCTTGAAGATTGCACTGACACTGAGAACACTTAGCGCGCTCGCTAACTGTGACGCGCCGTATCTGAAAATCTGGGGAAATCCTTAAGCAAGCTGACAGATATCACCAGCACGAGCTTGGGCAATGGGCTTCAGCTGAAGTCCGCGAGCCCACGTTCCATTGTTCTGAGTCCCATTGTTCGAAGACTCACTTGTTGCCGTGTCTACGAGAAGCCTCTGTGAATCCAAGAAAGAAGTCCTGAACGACATACGCCAGAACTGATAGCTCCATGCGCCTAGACCTGTCAGTCGCTAGAGAACAAGCCCGCGGGTGTCGGGAGAGCCCCTCTTGGCACGCGTTTAGTGAGCTCACTATAGAAATGAGACTAAAACTGGGAAGTCCGACTCGGATGCTCAGTAAGGTGGCGGTGGCAACGTGCTACGCATGTAGGGGTCTGGGTACTGCGCGACGTTTGTAATTCTAATTCCCCTGTAGTATAAGTAGACTGGTTACAGTAGGTAGAGGCCAAGTCTCGAGCCCCCGAGTTCCCGTGCACGCGTTGAAGGCGGTACTGTAACAAAGGATCAGTTTGTGACTTCGAGCTGTGCATAGAATTAGCGAGCTCACTCAGAGAAATACGAGATACCCTTTTGATAAGACTTTTGAGAACTTAGTCAGAGTGAATACGAATCAGTGATGCTGTTTCTGTTCTGTTAAGTGTGATAAGTCTGTTCAGAGAATGTGTTGAAGTGGAAATCTGAGATCTGTCCTGTTCTGTCCTGTTCTGTTCAGTTCTGTTTCAGTCTGTTCCGTGTCAGTTCTGTTCGAAGTTCCGTTTCTGAATCTGTTTTCCGAGCGCTTCTGAAGTATTCTTGAGTCGAGATAACCTGCTGGAGTTAGTTGGAGAACCCCTACATACAGTTGTGTAGCGAGCGGGCTAAGTCAGTGCTTGCCTGTGGTGTTCTTTTAGCGAGCTCACTAAAGTTTCGGCGTGTATTGCCTCTGTTTCTGTTGGGATCAGTGTCCCTTGTGTATTATAACTCAAATCTGCCTTGAAGGTTGTGTCACGCCAGTGAACGACCTTCCTGTAAAAAGTTCCTAGACTTAGGAATTCATTAGAGAAAGCTTAGCTTCACTAAGAGCACTGAGAATAAGAGAAACTCTTTGAGATATTGAAGTATAGTTGGATCGCATTAGAAATAATCGCTCCCCCTAGAACTTACAAGGGTGATTGTAGTTTGTGTAGTTGTGTGAGTGTGTGTGTGGGTTTTTGAGGTTCGCCTTTTAGCCCGCTCACTATTCCACAGGTGCCCACAGCCAGCCTCTTCAACGAAAATGTAGGTCATGTCAGGGATTTTATTTCCAACCCCCCCTTGATCATCTCTTCTCTGTAAGCTTGTGCCCTGGTATGTTCGGGTGTACAGAGAGCCAAGTGCAGGCAAATATCGTTGTAGCACAGCTCCATATGATATCCCAAACCATCCTACAATCTTCGTAGCATGCAGGTAAAACATCTTCGCCATTGTGAGGGACAGAAATGCTTTGGACCAGAGAGATGGAAATGACAAAGATTGCGATTATCAAGTTTAATTGCATTGTCACAACTACAAAGATAAGTTTAGTATACAACATGGAAGATGAAATGATGCACACTTTCACACTCTCGGAAACAGGAATTGAGGAGCGTTATCTAAAGAGTCAAAAGTCAACGAGGGACATATGAAGAATTCGAAGAGATTACCTAAATATATGAAAGATCGATGTTTGGATGAAGGCTGAAACTGAATGAGTCGACAAATTAAGAAGTAATGAAACATGTTGATTGGCGCAGCAATTCCATCACGGACAGCATGTATCACGTCTTTGCTATAGTAAGAGATTGTTGGAGAAGCTCGGGACAATTGAGTAATCAGCGGTTCATATTCTTATCTGTACTACCTGAAACACATGACAAAGTATTGAATGATGAGTTTCATCCTCATTCGAGTCGAATTTCCTTGAACCATGGTTCTAGACAAAGGAATGGCAAGGTCCTGTTAGAGAGTCAATCGAGTGCCTTCAATAATGTTGGGATTTGCAACTTCAAGCTCATACTAGAAGATTCCTGAAGCTTCGGCTTACTCATTTGTCACGATACTTGGATATATTTAGTACTTTAGGTAGAATATTCTAGATACTTTTCGTAGTATATAAGGAGCTCATTAGGAGCTCTAGTAGCCAACAATTAGGTATTATTCCTACTGCAAGCCTCCCACTGCAATAACTCCAACAAATAAATATTACTCGTGTTGTCAGACTGGCATGGTTTAATGACGCATGGCAAAGCTATTTTTATTTCGGGGATAAGCACTAAGCAGGATCAGAAAGGCTGGGCAGAATGCCCTTGATTCATTTGCACACCTATGTAGAAGTCAAGACAATTAAGAAATGTGCGTAAATGTTGTGATGAGAGGGAGACAGATGCGATTGAGACGGAAATCTGTAACCAAAGTACAGGAGGTACAGACAAGGAGAAAAACCTATCAAAATTGACAATCAGTAGAAAGAGAATAGCCCCAAGAGCGGAGACAAAAAATGGCCAATGAGGAAGACAGGAATATGTACCTGGGAAAGAGAATGAGCGAGTTTGATTATGTTGCCCTGACTCAAGGGAAATCAATATTGTGATACAGAGGAGAGGCGATGAAAGGTGCTGGGATATTGAATTTCCATTATTTTCCTCCATATGCAGTAATAGAAGCGTGGCAGGCGAATGTGACTGCGACTCCACTTTTCTATGTCTGTAAAATCATAAAAATTAAAGCCATTCCGGTAGTTTGAACCTAGGCGATGAGATCGAAGCAGCAGACATACGGAATAAAGTGTTATGATAGTTTGATTCCATACAGGTGGAGGAAATGTTTCTCCGAGCACAATTTTGATCATGACTGAATGTTTCCCCCGGGGCACTTCTCGAAGTTCCGAATGCGTATGCTGCAATGTGAATGCCGAGCTGGAGATGATGGTGAGCGGTAATCTCCATATTGATACATCAATGAACTGTTACAAGTAAGTAGACGCCAAGACGGTCAGTCCGCAGCTGTATTGAGGCAGTACATGGTAGATAAACCATGATTCTCGTCACCTTTAAGGGCGACAACTGAGAAACAAGATCATTTCGGCTTGCGGTCAGTTTGAGGTCGGTAGTCAAATAAAGCCCGAAGACGAGGAGTAGGCGCTGGAGAAAATGAACTGTGTATCTCAGTAAGAAGCTAATATGAGTAGCGTGCGTAGTCAGCTCAATACTGAATAAACGAAGTTACCAGAAGACATGCCCTGAGTGCTTTACTTGCCGGGGTTCTTTAATTCAAGATAGAGCACAACATTTTACAGCTATAAATGGGAATGGGCATACCATTGATTAGACGGTGACTGTTACTGCAGATGCTGTGAAGGACTTATCCGGGATGGGAAAAAGAATACGCGAAGTTATGACAGTCCAGAAAAGGGGCGTGATTAGCATGTGGCCCGGAATCCCGGAATCCTGACTAAGTTGTTGGTTGTTGATTCCGATCGCTACCGGATGCCGTTCTTCTTCTTACCATGAGCACCTCTGTTTCTCCACGTGGGTAAACTATGAGCGTGAACCTACCCATTATCATTCGTTTATCGTCAAGTTGAATGTTCGACGCAATATGACACTACGGCGTACTTGACCTCAATCAAACGTGAAGGATACACTGTTGGAATGCTGTCTTGAGAGGGACGCCTTTGGCACCTGGGTGTGTCATGTTTCGTTTGCTTACAAGATTTCCTCTGAGCCGTCTGCAGCTGCAGCGTCACCAGCCTTCAAGACACGGAACCAGCATGCGACTTCCTGGATTTCACCCATCTTCATTTCGCGCACATGGAGAAGCGCAGATCTGACCTATGTATCCTCTTCAAAACCTGGCTGGTCTCAATGGCATTGTTCTGCTGAAGCCTTCGTACATGCGTCGCCATTGTGAGCTTCTCACTACTGCGTTCGGCATTCAAGCTTCGTATTTGATTGAGCGTATCGCCAAGTGCTTTGTTTCATTCCATATAGTCCAATGGCTAACATTTATAGTAGATTATGCTTCCTCGCTATGACACAACCGCTGCAGGTGTTCCGGTCTCGTTCCCTGATGTCATACCTTTCTTGTATGCCGCGACTCACACGCGAGAGCAGGCAGGACGCCTGCCAATTCTTGGAAGGCATCGCAGAAACAAACGAGACGGAAAGATGTCCGGGCTGGAGATCCGTGACCGGGCTGAAGGGACCTTCATCAGCGGGGTTTCATTGTTACGTCACGTCCACGATGTCCTCGCCAGCCCTCATCTGCCGCACCCACAAGCCAGGACTTACAGAGACTCGCCAGTCCAATACTGAACATGAAAGATCATACATTTGCAATGGGACCACCCTGACTCGCAACATTGGTCTTCCACAAGTTTCATTCAAGTTCAGGTCCGTATCTACTCGATTTCCTTGTCAAGATACCTATATCTTGTTGTTAGCTTGTCTATGCCACACAGAACGACGGTCTGCTCAAACATATACCGGTGGTATAAATCAGCATCGTTAGCAGCCTACGTGTACGTACATTGTCTGGTCTTTCTCTGGTCTATCACGCTGACGCATTCACAGGTATCTAACAGTATTCATAAATTACGACGTATCTACCTGATTGAGCAATGAACGACATATACCTCGCTATCCTTGTCACTCTAAGAGTTATTGCAGTACTGATTACGTGCAAATACCGTGTCTGGGACATAAATGCATCACATCTGACCTTACATTCGACCATTTCGGGAGACGATAGTCGATGGCATCTAGTTTCGCTGCTGTTCCTGTACCCAACACGTCAAGGAGCGGATCACGACACTTTTTCTTCATGCGCAAGCAGACATTGGAGACCATTACCTGCCTATGATACGGCCTTCTATTCTGACGATATACATATCCCAACAACTGATACCCAACTCCTTTTTGATATAGTTGATATCGTGGTAGGTATGCATTTATGTACTTTTCATTGTACCGCGCTGAATCATTTCCCTAGGACTTTATTCAGCGACATTACTCTTCTGCCGTCAAGTCGTCAAGCCCTCGTTCGACCCCTTTCTAGAATGACTGGCTTCGCCAGGCAATATGGACCGTTGTGCGTACATCTCTTCCGTGACATCAATGCAGCCAGGGCTCCTTTGGACGCGCTAGATTAATACAATGCGATGAAGAGAACAACGTCAAAGAACGGGGCCGAGAAGACTAAGTGGATGTTACGACATGGCTGCCGGTAGAGCAAACGGAAGAGGGCTGGGAAATAGTTGACATCTACCGAAGAAGACAACAGGTACGTTCTTCGGTCTCTCAGGCTGGATTTCGTGCCTACTGTCAATGGATCGAAGGTTCGCATGCAGGTTAACTTCGTGTATGCGGATGGTGGCTTCAGTAATGGTGTTTTTCCCTTTCCTGTTATTTAATGAGTCAAGTACTGAAGTTCTTTTGTCTACTAGGTAGACCGGCGTGGATGCCACATTTCACTGGACCACAGCCAGAAGCTGGAGTATTCGAAGCGGTTCTCTTTCCCGCTGCAATTCAACCCTTACGACATCATCTCAATCTTCGATTATAAATGGTGTACCTATGAGGAAGCTGACCCTTTCACTGCGTAAACGATGGCCAGATGAACTTTCATCTTTAGGCGTCGAGCCTTTATTACGGGCGAACCTGGCTTGCACTCGGACTATTGTTCACAAATTTTTTGATATTATTGTGAATCCCTTAGTTGAGCGACTTGCCTTTATTAAATATACATGTACTGACCGTATTCATAGGATACATATGTGAGTGCAATACATACTGCTTTTGTATACCAGAGTCCAATTCTAGTCATTTAATCTATCTGCCCGACCCGGGACGTGGCCTGGGCCTATAAAATCAGAAATTGTCGTGACGCTTCTGATCGCTTTTACCCAAGAGGAACCTGCCCTCATTCCGACCGATGCTCAAATATCTGCAGCTCCAGTTATGTCTCTGACGAGAGTACCTGCACAGTGCACGCCAATCCGAGATGATATGTGCCTCGATATTACGCTCATATCTTTCTTCACGGATTTTACCGCAGGCTAAGTCTCTTTGTATACGATTATTATTCCAGGGCTTGCAATGGAATAACAATACTTATCAACGACTCGTTGTGGTCACTCCACTCACATTCGTCAGACCTCACCGTACCAGAGGACGAATGTGTCAGCTAGTGTGTTTAGGATACCGTATGTTAAGATCTTTTCTCATACGTTGACGCTAATCTTGATTGCGCACGTCTCCAGAGCACTCTTATAACGGTACTGCACAGGGGTTGTTCCTCGCCCTCAGCTTAATTCTCCTGAGGGCTGTCATGCTTAGGATGATAAACGCTTAGAGTTACCCAATCTCGCATACCGAGAAAAGATTATGGTGGGATGGAGTCAACGTAGCAATATCGTTACAGGAACAGAATCAAGTCATACTGCATACAATCGTACAATTCAAATATCCTAACAATCATTCAGTTGGGCCGGACCGGAGGAACATCTCTTTACGCTCGACAGTTATCAGGGACGTTCTCGTCATCGACATAATTATCAGCGTACACTCCCAGACCACGGCTTGCGAACACATTCCACAGAATGCACGAGTTGTCCCCGTTGTAGCGGTTCATGTCAGCCTGGATCCATGCATCACGAGCACATATAACTGAAGGACCAGTCAGATGGCTGTAGATAAACCGAGGATATGAACTCACAGGTGGGATTGCACGGCTGCAGGGCGAGCGCATCAATGAAGAGGTGAAGATAGACAATATTTCCTTCCAATCCTGAAGCGTCCTCCATAGCAGTCGAAGACCATCCGTGTACCTCCACGAGGGCTGCGTAAACATTATGCAGCATATTAGCCCACACCTCGCCAATATCTGAAGACCAGTGAGAAAGTGACACATTGAGACGGTGACAAAACCGTGTACCGTGAGTCGAAGAGAGCTCCCTAATAGAAGAATATCTGAGCGGATTAACGCTAGGATCCGTAGAATATGGGTAATCGCGGGCACCAGAAGGATTGTTTATCGCCCAGGCGAAGAGAACATAATCAGTGATATTGCCACTTGTCTGTTCAGTCCATCTGTAAATGGGTGAGTATTCCAAGTAAGCGAAGAAAGTATAAGAACTCTTACTCGGCCATCGCATCGGACCATCCTGACAAATACATCAGTTATTGAAACTTACGCAAAAGGTTGTAAGTGGTCCTAACCTTCCCCCAATCCACTGGATTCGGTGGTCTGCAAGCACGTAGCTGTTCCACCTCCGGTCAAGCGATTGCTGAGACCATGTGTATACTCATGAACAATGAGATCATTCTGCATCGCTCCATCACGATACGGGATTGTATAATCGAAGATGAACATTTGACAAAGACCTGGCTGCCCGCTAATTCTAGTGTAAGCATCATGCCTGCGAGTTGAGCAAACAGCGTACTCTGGAGTCACATAGAAATAGGCATTATTCATACCGAACGTATCTTGAACAGATATAAACAGAGGATCCCCTTCCGCTCCACCACGACCAAAGTTACTGATTTGGTAATTGTAGGCGGATTCAGTCCAGCCGTATTTGTAGGTGAAGTCGTGTATCTTGTTGATGACATAGAAGGCGTTAGTGCGAGCCGCATCAATGTTACTACCCTCCGCAGGGCCTACAGTGACATCATAAGGGTAGTCAAAGGTTTCCGGTGATGACTCAATGGTAGTGTTGGTCGAAGATCCCTTATAGGAGATAACATTGTTTCCTCTGTATACAACTTCAGAGATTGGGAAAAAAGTCAAAGAAATCGGAGACTTACAAAGTCTGTCCACTCAGTACCCAGCCCGCAGGAGAAGATAAAAAGTCCTCTGGATTGACCAGAGTTTCCTGCCCTTCCGCCACAGAGGCGCTGGTTATAGGAACAACCGTATACTATGTCTGGATTAGATGACAACCATAACTGAGAGTAGGGATATCATTACTGTCGCATCAGCAGACATATCTGTGACTGCTAAGATTTCTCCAGAATGAGCATCGACGAACACCTGGTAGGCGATGTTCGCCTCGGGATTCATCACTTGAACTACATGAGTGAGCGCAACAGACCCATCTGATTGCGCCAAATATTCAAGTGAGCTAATCCCATTATATGGGGCAGCGAACGCATCCTCGACCTTTGGAACAATAGATTCAAGAGCTACAGATGGTGAAGACGATGCAATATTGTCTATGGGTGGGTTCAGATCGAGAGGAAAGGCCCAGTGATATGACTTGCTTACATGTATCTACAAAAGACGATCCAAAAGCGACAGCATTCCCGTTCTTGAAAGCGACATTTGCGACAGCGTTGGCGAATGTAACACCATCCTAACGAGAAGCGATATCAGCGTGCGGAACGAAGTGGAGAATTTTGAGAAAGAGATATATACATGGTATTGAGTTACATAGGCATAACTCATGCCGTTCTCAGCAGAGCGTCCAGAGCGGTAGGCGATAGCAGAGGAGTCGATCCCTAGCTCGGATGCAATAAAGGAAATAGTCGACATATTCAGGTCCTCATTGCTGAAAGACGGGGCCTCTTTTCCCTCTCCATACGTCTGCGGGAAAGATATGACATCGTAGCAGTAACATATAAACATGAGAACTGTACCGCATACGATGACTTGGGATGGTATGTTTCGATCTGGACATCACGCCCGATTGTCGTAAACCGGCGGGTGGAGTGCTTTGTATACATGGGCGAAGGAGCCCCGAATGCGTCTCTTGCCATAAACATAGCGAGGAGCACAGAGAATAATCCCGTAAAAAAAGCGTGCATCTTCAATGAATCTTTGGATGGAAAGACGAGCAAAATCGTTGCGGGGTAGATGCAGCACTCCGGAGCTACTTATATTCGAATGGCTTGTCTAGATGCTTGCTTCCTGGTCAGTTCCGACTTGTGACACCAGTCGATGTATAGTTTGAACAAAGCGAAGATATATTCAAATCAGTATACTATCCAATACTGACAAAAGGAGAACAATCTAATGGAATTCATAGTAGGATGCCACGCCAGCAGAAAGGCCACACGCGACTCACAAGTAGCATTCACGCTGTCGAGGAAGACAATCGTTGAATTAGGATGATCCTCTGACACGATGATAATACGTCACATAAGTCTTAGTGGTATAGTATTCATCCACCGGCACATGAAGTGAACTTGGATTGACATCAGCTGGTGCGAACATATCAAGAGAGTTGAGGTGAGATAATACATGGAGATAAGGCGACGAATGAATTACCATAAAGCCAAGCTTCTAAGTCACATACCCGTGTTGAACATCTTGCCGACGAGAACATAATTCGGAGTTCTATGAGGATGAGCAATGGAAGCGCAGATTCTTGTGGAGTACTCGAACGAGGAACGATAGTAGAAGATCTAATCAATCTATTCCAGTCCAATGTGATAATCAGTAAACGGAAAGCGCACTTCATTAATTCATTCACTCTATGGTATCGTCATTTGATTCTCGCTTCTAAGTTCGTGTATGACAATCATATTCTCTGTGTTCCCAAGGCAAAATAGCCAGGGAAAATGTTCTGTGTGCTCGAATTGAATTTCTTGCCTGGTTTTCTGTCGTTTGAAGGAACCCATATGGTGCCCGGTACGTTAAATAAATAACGTTCTTGGTCACTGATAGGCACGGAAAGGCATCGTTCTCGGAGGAACGGGGCATATCTTCTATATTGCTTTGTGCTTTACGCGTATTTTGCCTAGTGGTGAACACAACACCGGAAAATCTCAGGGACGATCAGAAATCAACCTTCGAGTCCAATAATAGATACGTCAAGCCACCCTAATAAATTCGAGGCCGACGAGGACTCAGGGGAGAAGAACATGCCAAGAACTTTGAATGAGAAGCGCTGAGAGAGGGTAGGACGCAGATGCAGTAGTTTCCAGAGGAGAGCGTATGTAGGCATATCCTTTGTTCACATGCATCGTCTTCCATCAGTACCTGGGACTGGAGAGAAACACTCACCTGATATCGCTGCAGGAATCTAGTGAATGGGCAACTGGTTAAAAGGTGACAACCCGACTCATATTTTGTCTGTACAGGTCATTGGATGATCTAGAAAAAAGAGCTCCCCACAGTATCCTTAGGCTAAGGGTTGTGAAAGTTCCGCCGGTTTCATTACTACTAATTTTTGAGAATTTCAACTGCAAAATTGTTGAGAAAGGCACGTTTGTAGGTTAACTTGGAGGGGTCATGGTAAGGACCTCTTGACGTAACGCACCAGCTATGGATGTGCACTTCGAAATTAAGAAGTGAAGCTGTCGTGACCCTGTCGAAGGCCTTCGCAACGTCAGTACGCAGTAAACGATAACACATGACCGATGGTTTCCCAAAAAACTCTTGCCTGAACAGAGATATCAACTGAGAGCTCTGGGTTCTCCGAGTCCTTCTTTAATCCCATGACTTCGTCATGTGCGCTTCATCATGTAGCCTGCGCAAGAAATGTTTTCCAATTCCCAAATGTATATATCACGACTTCGAGTGCCTTCCCTACTCGTCTTGGTCACGAGTAATTCAAGATGATTCGTTATAGGAGTAATATTTAGCCCCTTAAGAATCTATTTCGCATCCAAATAAAACTATTTGTGTCTGAAACTCTCGTTTGAGGTTGGAGACCCGTAAGTCAAGCCCACAAAATTCACTGATCAACCTTGTGATGCAAAATTCGTCCTGAATTACCCTCTCGAAAGGTCACCACTCTTGTTACCTGATCCAGACTGCTATTTACGACACGAAGACCCTGCTATCATTCGTGGGGACATCGCCTACCACCAGGAACAATGCCATCCATGCAGATTCGTATCTCAAAATACCCAGGCTCCCTACAATAGCCTAGCATCAAAATAATTTCTCCTTCAGAATGTGATGTAGCGTACTGAAGTGAGTTCCGATTTCATGACATTGCCATGGTCAGTACAATGAATTATGTGGAACAACGTTTGACATTTCGTGTGCCTGATGTTGGATCTTGCATCAAGTCAATCCATATCCTGCATGAGCAACCTCATAGCGTATAAATGAGGACTTATCTAGCATCACAATTTTCCAGGCTCTGAAATATATATCCCAATTATGTGACTTGAACATTTTAACTCGGAAAATGATGAAAAAATAATTGATCAAACTGAAGAAATACTATGGCTTTTTGCTCTGTGAACTGTCTGCAAGCCCAAGAATCAGCAGAGCTAAAACCTTCTCGCTGAATACGATACCTGCAGAGCAAAACTTGGTGAGTTCAAGATCCATCAATTTGACGGTAATCTATGGGTGTAATAGCGTGCAAAAATTCATGTAGGTGCAAGTCGCGTTTTTCGGGTCGCAAGTTGGTTATTAGCTCCCAAGTTCACTTGTTCCTTACGCAAGTTTGCTATTGGCTATAGATTCAGAATAAGTAAGGCCTAGGCTGTGATATACAAATCTCCATATAGCTGTCCGGATACCTGACATTGGTTATGAACCATACAAACACTAACATTCTGGGAAGGAATATGGTACCTATGTTGTTCAGTGGGCTGTGTCATGAGTCCATGAACTCTTGGAATGTCATTCTCAGTGTGCTCCACTGAACTCAATCTATTGCTATCTTGAAGTATTCCGAACATTCAAATCTAGTATTAGGGCGTCAGTGGACTGTCTAGACTGAGCGGCTTTGAATCCAGAGATCAAACTCCCAAGGGAAATGTATCTGAATTCATGACTGAGTAAGCGATGGAGAAGTAGGTAAAGATGAATAGGCGCTGGAGGAATTCGGGCCATTATGGAAATGACAAAATGACCGGTGTTAAGCACCGAAATAATGTGGGCCTGTTCAGGGACCACCCCGTCCCGCTCCGGGCCCACCCCCAGATCTTATTCTAATTTCCATGGTAGTAACTGGTGTCAATTCTTTATCTCTGTTGAAATCTCTGAACTTGTGGGGAGGACACAAACTTGCGCGCTTACAAGTGACTTGCGATCAAATAACGGCAACTTGTGCCTGTCCGAATTTTTGCACGCTATTACGCCCATACGGAAATGATAGTCAAGGATCTCTGTCTAGCTTCGCTACATCCCGGGCGCTACCACGTTAAGGGCGGGATCACGAAGCTTTGTCTTCATGCGCAAGCCGACATTTTAGCTATTGCCCCAGGCCCCGGCACGTCGAGGAGCGGATCACAGCCCTTTTTCTTCTTCCGCATGCAACTATTACAGAGGCTTGTCTGCCTATGTTACAGCCTTTTCTTCTTACGATATACAGATACCAACAACGGCACCTTCAGATCTGGTTGATATTGCAGCAGGTACACCCTTATGTGCTTTTCATTACTCTTGCACTAAACTATTTCTCTAGGAATTTATTTGGTGAAATCACTCTTCTGCCGTCAGTTGTTAAGCGTTTCGTTCGACTCTTCCAAGAATGACCTGTCTTACCAGGCAGTATGGACCGTTGCGCCTACGCCTCTTCGGTCACACCAATGCAGCTAGGGCTCCTTTGGATGCGCTAGAGCGATATAATGGGATGAAAAGAACAAGGTCAAAGAACAGGGCCAAGAAGAGTGAGCAGAAGACAGCTGGGTGACGACTGAGAACCACTCAGGAGACAACAAGTATGTTCTTCCATCTCTGCAACTATATTTCGTGCTTATTGTCAATGGATCAAAGTTTGGCGCGCAGGTTAACTTCAGCCTTGTGTTCACTGTATCGGCATATTCCCCTAGCAAGGGTGGATGCGGGTGGCAACATCATGAATGACGTCACTGCCCGGACTAAAGTATTCGCGAGGCCGGAAGAGGACAGGAGTGGCGTCGATGATCAAAGCACGGTTTCTCCCTTTCTTGCTATATAACGACTCAAATATTCATGTTCTCGTGTCTACTAGGTAGACTGGCGCGAATGCCGTATTTTATTGGACAACGGCAGAAGCTGGAGTAGTTCGAAACAGTTCTCTTTCCGCCGGTCCGCCGCATTGCAACCTTTACGACATCATCTCATCCTTCGATTATGAGAGTACCCCATGAGGAAGCCGTCTCTTTCACTGCGTAAACGATGGATAGATGTTAGGGTGTCGAGTCTTTATCATGAGCGAACCTGGATTGCGCTCGGACTGTTCACGAATTCTTTGATGTTGTTGTGGGCTCTTTGTGTGAGCGATGACACGTCTTTATCACATGTATATCTACTGACCTTATTCTTAGGATACATATGTTCGTGCGAGGTATACTCCTCTTGTAAACTGCAGTTCAGTTCTAGTTGTCTAATCTGTCCGACCGTCATTTTCAAAGGAATATCTCCGACGCCAGCTGCGCCTATGAACTCAAAATATGTCGCGACGCTTCCGATCGCTGTTACCCAAGAGGAACTTGCCCTCATTCCAACCGATGTTCAAATATCGGTAGGTCCAGTTATGTCTCTGACTAAACTATCTGCATGCCAATCCGAGATGATGTAGGCTTCAATATCACGGTCTATATCTTTCTTTACAGCTTTCACTGCAGGCTACGTCCTATTGATATAATGACTGACTATCGTTCTAGGGTCTGTCATGCAATAAAATTATTTGGTGACGGTTTGGACTACCACAATAGTCACACTCATCAATCCTCGCCTTGCAGAAAGCTGGATGTATCGCGCACAGCAGTTGGGATACAGTACGTTGATATCTTTTCTAACCTTGTCGATACTTATCTCGGTTGCGCAGGCTACGGAACATTCTTATCTTGGTAAGGCACCGACTTTGCTCACAAGACACCCCTCTAGGCCTTGATTGGAGACTGCTTATATCCGACATTCCTCATACAATTACTGGCATAAAACTTGTGACATGGCTTGTCCAATAATATAACACTCCTGTGAGCGAGAAAAACCGAACACCTACTAACAAGGGCAGGAGGCATTGATCTAGCTTGATTCTCATGAAGGCACGGATTTTCTCTTCAGCATCTCCCTCATACTCCTTGCTACATTCTCATTCCATCCGTATGTCAATGCATTCGCAAATCCTATAAATTGTGTCGATGCCTGCGTGATTTGTAAAACCCTCGATGAATGACCAGACGCCTCGACTAGGCGATTGCATAATCCTGGTATCCATAAGACGACGTACGCGATCGGATATGCATTCAGTAAGAGGATCTTTGAGATGTGCTTGTATCGATCTTCAGGTGGACTAGTTATCAGAGTAGAAGGCCGAGAGATGGTGGTGGTGGCTGCCGAGGGTATCGGCAACTGGACACTGATGTCCACAATGGAATTGCGGCATTCGTGATGTTGAGTCCTTATCATATGAGCCTGCATTCTTACTGCATCTATTGACAGGGGAGCTGTACGGGCGTCTTGGGAGAGATTCGTTTGTGGCAAGAGCGCGGTGCGGGGAGAAGTTACAGTCATGCTTGTGATTCGCCTCCTCAGGTGAATGTAAAGATAAGCATAGAGACCTGTTCAATGCAACACTTGGATTGGCCAATAGACATAGGGATTTTGACGCACCTATTTCAATAAATGTAAAGAGGAAACGCCAAGCGTGAGTTAACACGTAGCGTAGATACGTAGGTTCCGAAGTAAGCCAACTAATAACTATGAGAATTTAGTGGTGATTGCAAAGATCTATACGCACCACCAGTTTCCTGAAACATTTGTATAGTATCCCTTTCCAAGTGCGACAAAGCCTAGAAGAAGATAGCGTCGGGACACAGCGTTTCATGAAGCAGGAACAGCTTACTCGTTATTAAAGGCATCACCCACGCGCATGCGCATACAATAGCTACAAACCACTTTATGTCCTTCTTTGAATCGCCTAGCCAGGACTCATAGGAAGCAGTGACGATGACAACTGTGACTATCGCTATGGCCCAAATGGACGTATCGGTCGCCTACAGCAATGCAGCGTTTATAAGATGTAAATATTGACACTTTATCCTTAAGCTTACCTGAACGGAGAGCCGACCGATGAATCCATTCGCAATACAAGCTCTAGATCTTGTGAGGGGTCCTGTGGCGAGGATTACGGCGCCTGATATCCCATTGTTCATCCCATTAATGAAATCTGGAATGTTTCATCTGAGAATATACGCGTTCAGAAATGTATCGGACCTTACCTGCGATTGCGAGATTCAGGATTAACAGGTGCCGATAATGCCTCTTCACCGGGAGGAAGGCATAGCAAAGGATAATAAATCCTGACCCGATCGCTGACAGCACACTTCCGACAAAATTCGTGAGAGCCAGCACGAGCTCGAATTTATCTAGAGTCATGGTGAGATATATGGATTGACTAGGCCCTGGACATTAAATAACTCATCGGGACACAGCAATAAGTCCCAGGTACTGATCATGGGTATAAGGTATGCATGGGATGACTATCCACTACGTCCACAGACTCTATTTATTACGATAAGGAAAAGTACCTATCATTCACTAGACGACTTCTAGGAGATGAAAGTGCGGATGAGCATGAGGTGCTGTATGAGCAATATGCGTTAGCGCTCAGCTTTATCATCCCATGACTGATTCCAACGCCTTCAGAGAAACGTTCAAGCTGTGAGTTAAGTATGGAAATCAGGTAGCTCCGGAAGGACGACACGGCATTACGATTGAACCTTCATTCAGAAAGTGCTATATATATGCATAAGGCACCAGTAGCAATCAAGACGTCAAGAATTATTCATTATCAACATATCAGTTGAGATGAATTTTTACCGTAATATTGCCTAAACCCAATCATGCCAAACAGCAGATATCTATGGAAGCGCACCTGTCCCCATTCTTGAACAATACTGGTTAAAATCACCCTCGTTCTTCGAATATCAGGCCTCTGGTCTACAGTAGGAGCCGATGGAACGGAGATGGCTCGTTTCTGCCTCGTGAAGGATGACGTTACCAAACGACATAGAGAGAGGTGAGTCGTCGCAAGCTCTAATGTTGATCCGGTTGGAAACGAGTTAAAAATAGAGCGAGTTCATCGTGGTTCGGCCGAACGAGCAGACGATGCCGGAACGGCAACAGCAGCGGGCAACACCGCCTTCTATTTTGGGTTCACCTTTAACCTTGACCACCAGCGTCTTCGCGCCGTGCCCTTCCATGACTCTCTGGACGTTTAATTCCGGGAAACCCGCATATTTTACTCACAGCCTCTTACCGGTACCTCTCTACTTATTCTGATGGTTGTTGTTGATGTAAGTTTCCTATCATTGCGGAACGGTATCTTCCAATCGCACGGCATTCAAAAGGACGTCCATCGAAATCGAAAGTCGTTTTCTGTTCTATAAGACGACCTGACAGGACCGTTCCCTTCTCTGAACTAATGTGCAATATTGGATCATACACACATCGCATACAATCGGTAGGGAGTCATGCAACGTTCGTTCTCAATGCCCAAGGAAGTCTATTGGTTTTCGCTGGTCCATCACAAAGACCGACTACATCTCTGTCAATCTCCTTTTGCACAAAGGAACAACCATCCTACCTCAGCTACCATTGCATCTCGGAAATAGCTATTAGGCCATTGTAGTCAGAAAATGTAGGTGACGTTACTGAAAGAGGGGCCCTCTACATCATGAACCCAGCTTCGTCGTTGCAGTTCACGGCATCCCTTCTTTCTTTCTTTCTTTTCTCTTATCACAATTTAGATACATTGTTTTCTCCCCTGCGTGTTTCCAAGCTCCGCGGATAGCCACAATTTAATTTTGACCCGCATTCTCTACTTGCACGAACGTGTTCACCTCAATGAACTCACAAATCTTCGCTGTCAATGTTGGACTGAACATCGAGCCGGATGTGAAGTGAATGATTCAATTATTATTCACAGGTCACCTTTTCAAACGTTATCGATTCCACGAAGAAGTTGTGATAAGAAGTAAGTAATCACATAGGGCCTCACCTCTTCGTACCATATATTAATGTGATCTCTAGACTGCAACGGGTCATCGATTGAAGTCTCATGACAAACCACGAGGGAATTCTGCGTCGTCTTTTAAACCAACGCATGCTTCCTCCCTCCTCCTCCCCAATTCCCATCCCACTATGCAAAAAGGAACCGCCATCGTCACTTTTCCCACTCAAGGCGGGTACTCCGAAGCTATTGCTCTCCGCCTTGCACAAGATGGATTCGATATCGCCCTCTGTGGATCAGAAACTCGCAGAAGCCTCGTTAGACGACCTTCAGCGACAAGTCTCTGCCAAGGGCGTACAGTGCCGGATGTATACGATAGACTTTACTGGTGAGGAAAGATGTCAAGGGAGTAGTCGAGTCCGTTGCAAACGACTTTTTACGCCTTGACGTTGTATGCTTCTTTTGTGCTTTTATTGTAATATCGGGTACTGATCTAAAAGTAGATGGTCGCAAATTTGTTGCACTTCTCGTCTGTCTCACCATTCGTCTACAGGAGACGCCTTCCTTTAAGTTCCCCATGCCGTGCTCACCTGCCATGCTAGCGTCCATCGAAGAGTGGGACAAATCATTCGAGTTGAATACTCGGAGCGTGTTTCTCTTTTACAAATATGCTGCGATCCAGATGATCAGACAAGGACACGGAGGGAGTATTATCGGTTCTTCCGCAACGTCAGGGCTCCAGGGTGAAAATTTTCATATTTAACCTCTCCCCCTTTTCGAGCAAGCGCTCATTGGAATATAGCCTGGGTGCCAAATCTCACCTCTTTCTGCGCTAACGCGTTTGCTATCCGCGGGCTTACTCAAAGTACTGGTGAGACTATTACATATTCGGGGTCGACATTGGAAATGATGGTTTTGTGCAACTCAGCACTCGAACTCGGACCTCACACCATCACTGTGAACTCGTTTGCTCCAGGTAGACAGGCTATCCTTCTGCTCTAGAATATCACTCAAACAGATAATTGTCAATCTTGAAGGATCCATCAAGAACGAGCAGCATAGGTATCTTCTCCGATACCATTTCTGCTTATGTGCTAATGATAAACGTCCACAGATCGTGTCACGGTAGAGAAGATACACCAAAACTCTGAATTGGACGTTCCCAACCTTGTACGTTCTCCCTCCCTTTTTTTGTATTGACTATCTACCTTACCTTGGTCTCTGTAGGTTAACAGTCGAACACCTTTAGCGCAGAAGAGCGGCACACCTGAGGACGTCGCGGATGTCGTCTCGTTCCTCGCATCCAAAGAAGCGAGGTTCATCACTGGTGAGAATGTTTGTTTCCTTTGTTATGGTTGATAGAGACGAGACGTTACAGGACAAACGGTAGGAAATGTAGTGTGTTTGTGTTTATTGGAGACAGAACTAACGAGGTATGCGTAGATCTCTGTGAACGGGGGTCTACACATGACCTGAGCGTGGATATGTGTGTTGCGTTACGTTTTCGGCGAAGTAGACCACTATCACGCTAGCCCATCTATGTTCTGGATGTTTGCTCTGAATATGTCAACGAAAGGCTGAGTCTAATTGGATGCAAACCCATGAAACATATGTCGACAACACAAACTCGCCAAGAATTTCCCGCACAGAATGAGTAAGCGGCAAGGAAAGTGCATTCTACAGGCGGTGATTGAGAATGGGTTGATAATGCTCAGCCGGATTTTGCTAGGGTGCCCGAATACTAAGTATACTGTAGTTCTCAAGAATATTTTGCTTAGGCATCTCGAGGAATAAGCATTCTGGAGACAAACCCCAAAGCGACGGACAGTTAGCATTATTGAGCACATGGAAAAGTGGCCCTCACTAGGACGAGCGTGAATGCTGATTGACTTGTTTTTTGAAAGACCGCTCTCGTGCTGTATGCTGATCAACCTAAATAATTATGAAGCTTTCCATTAATCATACGCATAAATTAGGTTTGGGTCTCTTCGTTCGGAGCCGAAGTGCCTGAAGATTTATCATTCTACTCCACAT